ACCTGGATACCTCATGCCTATTCACCTATCCTACACTGATAACCTTAAGGTATACTCCACTGAGCAAACAAAGCCCATCAGGGGCTAACCTCTTCCCATGAGAAACCTCTCCTGATCTACGGTGGCATCCTACATTATTGATTTTTGACTCATTTCAGGCAAACAGGTGTATCGTTTGCTCGTCAAAGCTACCCCCCCATCTCCTTCCACCTCCCGTGGGAACTTGGCCCATCACTATTCCCTTCTGTTTCTCACATTTTTAATATCTTTAATTTCTTCCTCAAAATATAAGCATGCTTAAGCAACTCTAACCCTTAAAAACAAAACAAAAAAAAACTAGTTTCCTACTAAGGTGTAATTCCAAAGACTTCCACTTGTGGCCGAAATTGACTTCCAGAGAGATAAGACTCACCTCTCTGCCTGAAACAACCACACAACAGGCAAAATGTATGTGCGAAACAATGGTTCTCCAAACACGGGGCATGAGGCAGTAAAAGGCAGTGGACCCTAAGAGATGGGAAACAAACAAGAAAAGCCCTGTCATTGCTACAGCTGCCCCAGCTGTTGCCACCGAAGAAGTTTCCAGGCTGAGGAGCAGAAAGGGAGAATCCAGGCAGGCCCCCTGAGTGGAGAAGACAGAGCTGAGAGAGCAGAGAGAACAAGGCAGCTAGAATTCACAGAACAGAGGACCAGAGAGAGGGGAGCTACACAGAGAGAGAACTCCGGAGATCTGCAGAGGGTCCCTCCGGAGTTTTCAGCTGATCAGCACAAGCATAGAGGAAACTACCTGAGGCTGAAGGAATTCCCACCAAAAAAGATTAAAGTCAGGTGTGAGTCAGGTACTCACACAGGGCCAGGAATAATACCTGCTCCAGCCAGACTGGAAAATCTCATGATTCACAGGGCTTTAGGTTGAGTGCTCAGAAGAGTCTTGCCTCAGTAGAGGGAAAAATTAGCCTCAGAAGGAGCACGGCTGATTCCTTCTACCGATCTTAAAAGCAAGACTGGAAAGGATTACACTATTTCCAAGTAACTTAACTGCATCCCAGAACAAAGATCGATAATATTTATGAGGAAACACAGATATCCAGCACCCAACAGGCAAAATTCACAATGTCTGGCCTCCAAACAAAAGTCACCAGGCATGCAAAGAAGTGGGAAACGGTGACCCACAATTAAGAGAAAAAACAATTGAAAGTGATCCGGTCACAGAGCCAATACGCTGACTGGGCTTGCTTTCTTTTGTTTCCCCAGTGGCTGCATTCACTAAGGTGTAGCCCTGCTCCAGAATCCTAATTTAGGCAGTGACACAGGCCAGTCTCCCTCCTCGCATGGGCCAGTTATGTCCCCCCTTTCTGCAAAGGAACTCAATTCCTGGACTCTCCTGCCTGGAGGATCCCCCAGGGATTTGCCAGGAGCTTCGACCCCACTCAACCTTTGGTTTCTGTTCTACTCCTAGTCCACAGAGGTATTTTTCTTGCTTCTGAACATAGTTATGTCTTTTTAGTTTCCTACTGTTACACTTTAACTCTTATTGCCATGTGTTTAGAGTACAAGAGAAGCTTCAAAATGTGACCTTACCATACCACTTCAACTGGAAGTCCCCACCCATTATTTCCGGAAACCCCTCCCTTGCTCTCAAAAACACTACTCTTGGTTTCGTCTCACCTCTCTGATGACTGTCTGTCTTTCTCTGAATCCCCCCTCTCTACTCACCCATTAAATGGGTGGGCCTTTTAGGGCTCCATTCTCCCCTTACTCTATGATAAAGGTTTAATCGGAGGCTCTGTAGATCTGTGATCCCCTGAAATTGTATCAAAGTTCTGATTTTCTTCCAATCAGGAAGAGCAGTTACAGTTTTTAAAGCCAGGTTTCATTTTTATAAGAACTCTTATTGCTGGGATGTTTACATTACACGTAATTCTTCAGTTATTTAGGATGAACTCTGGAGTTGTGGCAAGTATAGTGTAAGTACATAGACATCTCTTACATTATGATATAGATCATAGCTATATATTATCCATTCAGTTAATGAGAAATGGAACTGGATCTTTGTAAGGGTTGATAGTGGGGTAGAGCACATTGGACTGAGTTGGTTAAATGAAGGGCAAATAATGGTTTCAGCGTGTGTCTCCCGTTAATTATGGGTGAATACTAGATTGTGCTCACGTGTCTGCAAATGATTTTCGTCACCGAATATTTAGGTAGTACCTTTCACAGGTAGTGCTAGGCATCTGGGAATACCCAGCTGAACAAGGCACAGTCTCCGCCTTTATTGAGTTGACCGCTTAGTCTTTTCGTTTTCTTATTGTTTATTTTAATTCCTCGACTGTCTTGCCGAAAGGAAGTTGCCTGAATGTGGCAATCTAAGGAGTAGTGGCAGGGTGATGAAACCGGCATGAGGATATCTTATGCAATTCTGTTTCCAACATCCTCAAGGAGTTCTCTTGGAGACTGAAACCTACAGCGAAAACGTAGCAGCCTCCTCTGCAAGCTAATTGCCTCATTATCCTTGCTAATTGGGCAAAGCAGCACAAATAATCCAAAGGAAAAACAAAAAACATCAAGAAAAAGTGCGCACATTGCCCCCAACACCTCCCTGTTCTCTGATCGTTCTGAGAGCTCACTTCAGAATTGGAGATTAAAAGGGCTTGGGGCTAGGGAAGCAAAACTTGTATGTAAATAAGCCAGGCCCGCTTTTACAGAAGATTTTAAGGGACCGGTTGACAAAGTGCACAGAATCCCTTCTCTCTGACACCACAAAGTATCTATTACAAGAGAACTTCCTTCTGGCGCCAGGCGGCATTTTGTTTTCACTTGATGTTCTATAGGGGATGAGGCACTGCGGGGAAAGGGGTAGAGGGTGGAGGACTACTAAAACGAGAGTGACACTGCGCAGGGCCGACTACTGGGTGAGGGGGTAGGAGAAGAATGAGCCCCTAGGAGAGAGAATGAGGACAATAATGTAATAACTGACCTTGTACCATGTTCTACACTTTCCAGGAGAGCCTGCGCGCTGCCGGGCAATCTTGTTGACCCTCGTCACCACTTGAGAGGTGGGCTACAAACAGAGAAACAGCTGCAAGAAGGCCAGCAAGTGGCCCAAGGCCACGGAGCTGATAGGCAGAGATCTCCTAATGTCCACAGCAGAGGGGCCTTTTTCCAGTATGTGCCACATGGCAGAATGTCATTCTCTCCCAGGTTAACTCCACAATTAAATCCAAGGCTTGGGACCACATACTGGAAACCAGAGCTGTGGGCTACATTTCAAGGGCTGTTTTGGTAATGGCGTACTTTCACACTTCCAAAGTACTGCCGATAAAAATCAACAGTAAAAGAAAAAACTTCTAAGACAGAGTTTCTTAGCTTTTGCCTAAGAATGAAAGGCTGTCTCGACGGATTTTTAAAAATAAGATTGCTATCAGACCCATGAGCCACAGCCCAGCCTAGCTCGCCCTTCAGGATCCTCCAAATGAGTGAAGTCCAGGGATTCTGCAGACAAGCCTCTGGAAGCTGTGCCACGGGGCTTTTCTTCTTGAGGGTGGAGCTACTTATCTCTGTTAATGGAGCATTCAAAGTCATTTGCAGAAGCCCCGCAGCTTTCTATTCCTTATCTGGGGTTTGCAGAACAGTTACGCCTTGGCATTGGCTCCCACACAAATTGCTTTAAAAAAACAAAAATCTTTTTCAAAGTCACCTGCGTTTTAGTTGACGAGACGATCAATGATGATTTTTTTCCTTCTGTCCTAAATGGCAGAAAAAATGAGGTCTCTGAGTCTTATCACCTTTCCTCTCTCCTTCTTCATTTTTTAAAAAATTTTAATTTTAGGGCTTCCCTGGTGGCGCAGTGGTTGAGAGTCCGCCTGCCGATGCAGGGGACACTGGTTCGTGCCCCGGTCCTGGAAAATCCCACATGCCGCGGAGCGGCTGGGCCCGTGAGCCATGGCCGCTGGGCCTGCGTGTCCGGAGCCTGTGCTCCACTGCGGGAGAGGCCGCAACAGTGAGAGGCCCGCGTACCACAAAAAAAATAATAATAATAATTTTAATTTTATATTATAGTTGATTAACAATGTTGTGTGCTCCCTTTTCATTCTTAACTCGGGCCTTTCTACCTTCAGCCTCTGCAAACCTGATGTGTCCAGGCCCTGGCCTGTCTAAACGCTAAGGCCTCACGGGGCTCCAAGGAGGCAAAAATCTGGCCGCAAATCTTGGATAAACGAGCGGGGGAGGGCCGCTTGTGTCCTGGGTGACAGAGAACTCCTCCCGCGAGCTTCACTGTTCCCTCAGATACCTGACCACGTGGATGGCGGGAAGAGCCAGGAGTTCCTTTCCTTCCAGGTCAGGCAGCCTGGGGACAACCCCGGAACACAAGCCAGCTCCGGCTTCGCGAGACAAAGAAACGTGGCGGGCCTAAACCTACGCCCCCCACGTGACCCCTCCCCGTCCCCGTGAGACGGCGTATCACGTGACCCGTATACCACGTGACGTGCGCGCCGCTTAACCCGGAACTGGGCGTAGTACTCGGTACCCAGGGTTGCTCTGAAAAGGCGGACGAACTGAGCACTGGAGCCCTGGTCGGTGTCAGCGGGGTGGCCATCCTGCCTGGGGAATGGACGCCTCATTGTAAATTTTCCCAGTGCAACGAGCTGCGGAAATCCAAACCAACTGGAAGCGTTTCTCAGCGTGTTCTAGGGTTGGAGGGATTAGACGGGGTCGGGTACACGTGGAGAGATGCAGGCGAGATGACAGGGATTAGTGAGAGCAGACGTGCTGTAATGTGTGCTTCCCGCATTATGGTGCTTTTTCCCACGAGAATGTGCCTTCCGAGTGGGCGGGAGACTGGCTCACCAACACCTGCCACAGCAAACACTAGACACTCAGTGCACAATTGCCTCGTTAATCCCTGAATTATCCAATAGAAATATAATGCGAGCCACATCTGTAATTCCCAATTTCTAGTAGCCACATAGTAAAAATACAAAGCAACAGTCATTTTTTAAATTTTTAACGGTAAAAATTTATAATTTATTTTTAATGGTAAAATATACTTCCTTTAACCCAGTATATCAAAACTATCATCATCGTTTGACATATATTTTAAAAAAAATTAGTGAGATATTTTACATTCTTTTCTTCATATTGTCTTCAATATCCGGTGTGTATTTTACAATATTGTACATGACTAGCCACATTCCAAGTGCTCAATCACCTCATGTGGCTGGTGACATCCATATTGGACAGTGCTGGTCTAGACTCTTTGTTTTTCTAGGTCAAAGGTGTGGGCAATTTCTTCAGCCAACTGGACAAACCCAGAACATCAGGAGGCTCTGGGGAGACACCACCAGGAAAGTCATATGGGAAATGCATTCCAACAACAAACATTTCTTAAGCACCTACTTACCACATGCTTTGACTTGGTATCCACCTCCCACCCGCAAACAAACTCTAAACCCACTTGACCTGACCAACTTTATACTTCCTTACCCAGTATTTACTTCGGAGGAAGGGGAAGGTGGCATTAAATGGCCTTCTTTTCTATGGTCTGTAATTATAATCCACCTCATTCTCCCTTTTTAAAAACCAAAGTCTGCATTTTTTTTTATTTTAGCAAATTAAGCACCTTTTCTCTGTTACACTTAGTGTGCTGCTTCTCCACAATCTCATTTAATCCTTTTCAGTTACTGATTTAGGAGTTTTATCCCAGTTTTCAAATAGGGGAAGTGAGGCTTGGAGAAGTGCTGTGACTTTATGGTGAGAAAACTTGGAGAAAGAAAGTTTCTGATGCAGTCCCATCCATTTTCCCTCAGTGATGTCTCTTATGAGGCCTGTGGAAAATGTCCGGCAAGGGGACCATGCACTTCACACACTAGAAGCCTGCAGTTAAAGCAAAGAAACATCTTGTGCTGTCTGAAATCCACATCAAGCCGTGGTGTACAAAACCTGGGTCAGTTCTGGGCCCTGACACTTTATTAGGTGTGTGATGTTGGGCAAGGCAGTTCATAGTAATAAAAATAACTAGGATTTATTGATTTTCTCCAGTGCATCAGGCTGTGGCCTGGGCAATTGCTCATATACTCCCCCTTCCTCACAACAAGTTAGATATTTCATATTATACTGATCAGTAATCTAAGCCTCAGAAAAAGTAAATTGCCAAAGGTCATACAGCTAATAAGCAGGAGAGCCAGGATTATTAATTTATTAATTATTATTAAATGTAGTAATGTTTGAGACTGTAACTTTAACCCCACCTCCCACTGCATACTTAAAGAGAACATCTTAAAGAATTTCAAAATCATCAATATATACCATAGACAACTGTATATTTGTGTTACAAATATAAAAGGTTGTAAAGCATGGGCAGATAGGAATTGCTTTCAACGTGCTTTTTTAAAATACAAAAGTACTAACCTTCCAACACAAACTCCAACATCTGTATTTGCTTCCTGCTAAGGAGGGGACATCCCCACCAGACAACTCCCCACCACTTCTTTATTTATTAGTTGGAAGGATAGTAATATGATTTCTGTGTGCTGTAAAACCACAGGGGTGGTAGGGACGTCAACAGTTTTGGCGTGACTTCAAGATGTCAAATCATCAATTACAGACTATCAAGGTTGATTATTACAATGGGATCCTGGAACAGAAAAAGGGCATTAGGTAAAAAAGGAAATAGAAGTAAAGTGTGGAATGTCATTAATCATAATGTAGCAATATTGGTTCATTAATTGTGACAAATATACCTTACTAATGTAAGATATTAATTATAGGGGAAACTGGGTGTGAAATATATGAGAACTCTCTGTACTACTATCTTTATGACTTTTCTGTAAATATAGAACTTTTCAAAAATACGAGTTTATTTTATAAAACTTTGAGAAAAAATACAAAAGTAAAGATTTCATTATTCATTTGCAATGTTCGTTTACAATACTCACTTGGGAACTTGCCAAAACAATTAAAACGACAGGTTTTTCAAAAGAGATAGTTATACTTGCACTGTTCAGCTCACGGGGTTTTTGTAATCACTGAGAGAGAAGGAAAAGTAAAAGCATTTTGAAAGTCTAAAGAGGTGATGGATGTCAGATGTCATTACAAACCTGTTAAAGCAAACTGTAGTTATATACTAACATGAAATGTAGATGAAGATACATTTCTTAATCTTCATTAGGAGTCTGCAACTTGAAAAAAAGAGTGAAAGAATAAAAATGTAACTAGAAAGAAATGGAGTGAAAGGGGAAATGAAAACAAGATAAAAGAAAATAGAGAAAATAGCTGTCTTTCTTGAAAGAGATCAGAGGGAGAAAGGGAAGAAGAGAGGGGAGGGAGGGAGGGAGGAAGGGAGGAAGGAAGGAAGGAAGGAAGGAAGGAAGGAAGGAAGGAAGGAAGGAAGGAAAGGAGGGAGGGAGGGAGGAAGGGAAAAGAAAAAAGAAGGAAAAAGGAAAGAGCTATATATATAAAAAAAGAATCCTTGGGGTCAGGCAGTTCCTTCGAGGAAAAGAAACTGGCCATGACCCACTTCGCGTTGTGGCTGGGTACAGTTTTTGCGACTGTTTAGAGAAAATCTAGCGCTCTCCCTGCCATTAATCTTTTCTAAAGAAAAGACTTTGTTCTGCACCTGTATAAACAATCCCGATTTTTAAAACCTATATGCCTGCCTCTAATGTGTGAGACTCTGTATTTATGCTGATAGCTTCAAGTCATCAATAGGCGATGCAAAAAGCTGCCTGAGATCTCCTCTTCATATTTATTTGCTCCCCCTTCTCTCTCTCTCTCTTTTTTTTTTTTTTTTTTCTTTTTTTGCTTTTCTCCTTCACCTGGCACACCTAGAGTCAAGTTCAAGTTCAAGCGTTTCAGGAACGATGTCTACGCTCTGTCAAGTATTCCCTGCGTTTTCCCAGACCAGAGAGAACTGAGAGCGAGCGATCTTTTTACTCAACTGATCCCAAAGGAGCCCCTCCCCCTACTCTCCACCCCCGCCTCCCAACCAAATGACAAAATATACCGGGAGAAAACCTCTGCAAACGGCGGCGAGCGGGAAGGGTTTGGCGAAACACCCCCACGGGGGAGGCCTGGCCTGGGAGACGAAGGTGGAACGATGATGCCTGAGTGATGAAGTCAGCCCGGGCCAGCCACCTGTTGCGGCCCTTCAGGCATGGAGCCGGGCGCATTTGTTCTGCTGGAGGAGCCGCGGCTTCTGCCCGCTCCATCCCCAGCTAACTGCCCATCAGTCTCTCCTTAAGCTTCGCTCAGCTTGGGAAGCTGTGGGCTTGTAGGGAAAGGACAGTAAACACCTAATTCGGGTGTGAAGATTCAGTTTCCTCAGAACGGAGTAACTAACGCCAACCCAACCTCATAGGGTTTGAATTATTTTGTTGTTGTTTTAGTTTTGTGTGTTTGTTTCAATTACTCAGTGGGCAGGCACAGGGCGCCTAATGCAGTGCCTGGCACACAGCACGCATTCAATAGCTGGCCATTGGTGTCCACTTCCAAAATGAAGTACACATCCCCAGACCACGTATTGCAAAGGCCCTTCGAGTGAGAAAACGATAAGACCGCAGTTATGGTTTGTCTCCTTTGAGGGGCATACTTCTAGGTGCCGTTTTGTCGGGGTTTTTTTGTTTTTGTATTTTACTTTGGACGATTGTGTTGACTTACATCCTGCATCCAGGAGCGCGCTCTTCAACATACCATCTAAAATAGTCATCGAGTCTCTAGACTATAACTCAACCGCTGGGCAGGATCCTCTATCTTACGCACGGTGGTGTTAAAAACAAAATTAACACATGGAACTCTCAAGACAGCAAAAAATAGCAAATATAAGCATCTGTGCTGTGCGGCGGGGAGGCGTGTAGCGACTGGAATACCGAGGGGCCAGGGATTCTACTCACGGATTTTGAGTCCATATTCTACTTACCAGCCTGTTGATTTGGGGTCCTTTATTTAATATCTATCTCTGCGGCTTAGCTTCAAGTTCTGCAAAGTGGAGATAATAACATTTAAGTCACAGATGTCTGAAAATGAAAGGAACCAATGTAGATGAAAACGCTCTGGAAATCATACAGCGAAGTTAAAGGAAAGGAGGGGAGGGAGATGAGAGGTAACTCGCGGACTGTTTGGTGTTGCCTGCTTGTTTTGCTTTTACTCTTTTGTCGGGCCAGGCTTGAATAGGCAGTCAGACGTTATGAGTGATGAACTTGGAAAATAGTGTTCTGCTGAAAAGACTCGGGAAAGAAGCAGAGGTCGCGATCCTGGGGTTTCCACGTGTCTGGAAACCTTCGCCATCGCTAAGATCAGTCGCGGGGTGGAAATGGGATGGGTACATGGGTACGAACAATGTCCCCTCCTTCACTCACCCTGCGCACAGTCATCTCGCACTTGATGGGTCCGTCGGGGACAGGGGCCCAAATCCCGGCTCAACAGAGACGTCCCTTCCCCGCCCCCACCAGCAGATCCTCTGCACTCTGAAAATGGTCCCCACCCCTTCCACGCCCCCGCCCCACCTCTTGCCCCCCTTTCCAACCCCCTCTTCTTTGCCCTGGGTGGTTTCTTCCGAGGAGTACAGATAAATAGTCCTGTCAAAAGGCGCTGCGCGCCGTGGTGCGCGCCGAGCCTGGGCCCGGGCGACGACTTCTCGGCCACGCTCTCCCGGGTCAGCGGCGGGGCTCGTTCTCTGGGCTCCGCGCTTCCCGACCCGGGTCTCTGGTCCTCACCGGAGTTCAGCCTGGCCCCCGCCTCCGCGAGGGAGCGGAAGGCGGAGGCCGCGAGACTGGCCTGGGGGCGGAAGGCGGGGGCGTGGGGGACACGGCGATGTCCACCAGCTCGGGGAGCGACCCCGAAGAGATGGAGCTGCGGGAGCTGCAGCGCGGGTACCCGGTCCCCGTCTCCAAGAGGCCGCCCCTCCGCGGCGCCGAGCGCAGCTACATCTCTCCCAGTGACAACTCGTCCGCGGAGGAGGAAGACCCCGACGGCGAGGAGGAGCGCTGTACGCTGGGAGCGGCCGGCGGCACCGGAGGCTGCAAGAGGAAACGGCCCGGGGTGGCGGGGGGCGGCGGTGGCAAGAAGCCCCTCCCGCCCAAGGGCTCGGCGGCCGAGTGCAAGCAGTCGCAGAGGAACGCGGCCAACGCCCGCGAGCGCGCCCGGATGCGCGTGCTGAGCAAAGCCTTCTCCAGGCTCAAGACCAGCCTGCCCTGGGTGCCCCCCGACACCAAGCTTTCCAAGCTGGACACGCTCCGGCTGGCTTCCAGTTACATCGCGCACCTGCGGCAGCTGCTGCAGGAGGACCGCTACGAGAACGGCTACGTGCACCCGGTGAACCTGGTAGGGGCCCGGCGCGCGAGGCCCGGGGCGGGCGGCCGAGAGATGCCCGGCGCGCTCCCGGGTGCCGGGCAGAGTCTGACCGCTGGGGAAAACCGGGGGTAGGGGGTTTCCGGTATGGGTGGTGAGGAGGCCAGTTTAGTTTCTCCCAGATCACCGGAGGGGCCAGCCATTTTCCTGGAGGAGAACCATCCACCCTTCTGTGTTTGCATCACCCAGTGACAGCTATTGTCTAATATCCTGCTTCCGGGCTAAATCTAAGTTCCATCTGAGTCCTCTGTCCCGTTGTAGATTGATTGGCAAATCTCCCTTCCTAGCTTTTTCCAGCTAAGCGTCAGACAGGTTTGAATCAACAAGCCTTACTTTCTGAAAGGAAGGAGGGAAGGCCGATCTCTTTTCGAAAGCCTTTGGGTTTTTCAATTCTTGAAGAACAGCAGAGGTTTCCCCAAACGGGATTTGTCTGGAAAGTCCCTCTCCGACCTGCCAATTCTCCAGGCTTGAGAAAGATCATATACCAGTTCCTATTTGGAGCGAATGGCTGATTGGTGTGTGCGTGTGTGTGTGTGTGTGTGTGTGTGTGTGTTGGGGGGAAGGGAACTAAGCAACAGAATTCCAAATTCATGCAAATTTCGCGGAATCATCGTGAGGACAGCATGGACGGACACCTCCCGTCTCACGTGATCAAAATACAGTAAAGTTAAAGTCTTAGTTTAGAGAGAAGACACGCAGATTCCCAGAATACTGATAAAATCTGAGCTACTCAAAGCCGGGGATATTCCAGGGTTCCGTCTGGAGAGCGGTTTCGGTTTGAAACGGTCGTTTCTCCTCCAGTATCTGATGCTTTTTTTGATTTTACAGACATGGCCATTTGTGGTCTCGGGACGACCCGACTCTGACACCAAAGAAGTTTCCGCAGCCAACAGATTATGTGGAACCACCGCTTAGATCGAACTCGAACTCACTTGAAGGGATTATTGGTTAAGCGAGTGTGTTTGGGAGTCAGGGAGAGAAGGGAGAGAGCGTGAGAACCCCCAAGAATGGGAGGACAGTTCCATTGGATTCTCCTAGACTTCCACCCCGGGACTGTGAACTCGACAGGTGGCGGGCGTTGGGTGCAGAGCCCCAGGGTTCCGCGGCGCGGCCGTCATCGCAGGTGCGAACGGCTAGGCTGCCGCGGGTTTGGGCGACGACACTTTACACGCGGACCCAGCTCCAACCTCGGGCTTTAGCAGTGTAGACTAACGCCGGCGCTGCAGTCTGAGCCCAGCGCGCAGCCGCCTGGGCGTTCGTTCCCAGGCTGAGCCAGATCTACGTGGGTGATGGCACGAGTCCGCGCAGCCCAGGCCTTTCGCGGTTAGGTAATTGTTAGAGCGCGCTCTCGACAATCGGCTTCAAAGACGGAGGTCTTCACGTGAGACCTACCTGGGGCGCGTCTTTAAGTTGCAAAGAGAGTGTGGCACACCTGGGCCAGGTTTGTATCCCACGGGGCAGCGCCCTCCTGGCGGGCACACGATGCAGTCTCCGCTCGGGGAGAGGTGGAGGCGCGCTTTCTGAGACCAACTCAGCTGGGTTTGCCAGGAGTGGCCCTGGCGGTTCGGCTTTCAGGTGCGGTCACGCCTCTCACTCCCCCCAGGCGCCCATCTCTCCGTCACCTGGCTTCCGTCTCCCCCCTCCCCTTCTAGGCTTGAGCCTCCCATCCGGCCCTCCCCACTGAAGCCGGCTCGGGTCTCCTTCGGCGCCTCCCTCTGCTCCCTCCTCCCACACCTACTTGCAGCTCCCCTCCCCCCCACTCCTGACTGTCCCCAGCTGGCCTCGCCGCTTGGGGTGGCCCCCGCCTCCAACACTGCCTCTCGGCGTCCACGTTCTTCCTCCGGCGGGGCGGGCCGCCGAGGCTGTTCCGTACCTAGTGACCCTGCTCCGGGGGAACGCGCCGCTGCGCCAGGCCGCACTACCGCAGTAATTAGCAAATGTAAATAAATTTATTTTTGTATGAATAATAAAACGCGTTGTGAAAACCGAGTGCCCCTGGGGCGTCAGAATGTGGTCTTTGTTGCCCTTGACTGAGTTTGGTCTGGGAATTAATTTAAAGGTGCCCTCTTGGCTCTGGACGGGGATTAGGTCATTGTCGGCCGAGGGGGTTGATCACATGTAGATCACTGCAACTTCAAGCGTAACTCTCTTTCTATGATTCATCTTCTCAAGGCAAAGGTTACTGGAAGGCAGGAACTGGAGGCTTGTTAGGCCCTAAGAACCTTTTGGGGCCTGAGCCACGTTGAAAGGTATACACTCTTCAAAGTAATATATGTGCACTTCTTTCTTTTACACACACACACACACACACACACACACACACATACACATACACTACGATTTCTCCAGCCTAAACCAGTGCTAACAATTGCAAGTAGTTCAAGAACCCCCTACAGGCCCACATACCGGAAGTGAAGGATGGGTCTCAGGTCTAACTGGCAGAATAAAACCACAATACAAGGCGCCAATTTGTACTTCAGTCGAGCTTTTCTTTTTTTCAAATATTGTTTATATAGACTTTTTGACGTAACTACCTGCAGTTTACGCAGGAAGTAATAACTTGGGAAACCCATCACATGGTTTTCTAAACACAGGTCTTTTTTAAAGGAGCATTCTCTTTGTAGAAACTTTAGAAACTTTAGAAAAGTGTGAAGGATAGAACTACCTAAACAACTGCCTGATTTGGGGTGTGTCCATTATTTTATGAAATTGAAAGGCAGTTTTCTTGCCCAGACAGAGAAAATACAGCTGGAGTTTAGGAGGTGAGAGTGAGGTGAGGGAACATGGTTTCCTGTGTTGAACTAAACCGAACCCAAGCTCCAGAGAACTGCTTTCTGGCACCATTTTCTTGGGCCTTTGTTCATAGCCGGTGGGGATCCAGTCTTCAGTGGCAGAAGTCAGCAGGGGGTTTCAGCAGGGCGCTCTGGTTAAAGGAGAACTTGGGAGTAACTAGTTACAGAAAACCTCATCACGGTGGTTAAAGGCACTCAGGCCTTTTGTAAGCACTGGAAGCCAGGCTTCTTGGGGGTGGGGCATCTGCTCGAAGCCAGCTCCGAGTCAAGATCTTTTCCAAAGCTTCCAGGAAATGAGGTCCTTTTCGAGAAAAGGAGGCATTGTTGTATCTTGTTAAGGTGAACCTGAAGGTCTGCAGAACCAAGCCTGGAATCCAAGCTCTGCCACCCCCCAGACTAGTGACCCTGTGCAACCCCACTCTGCCTCAGTTTCCCTGTCTACAAAATGGGGTAATAACAGTGGCCACCTTGGAAGATTGCCGTCAGTTATGAATGTGATAATATTTAAGCAACCCTTCTAAGGCAGTGAGCAACACCCGTAAAGGCTGACTGATAACTAAAGGAAAAGGGAGGGGAGGCTTCGGCAAATGAGGACACTTGAAACAGGTGGGACATTTCAGGAATCCGGTCTTTAAGACTAGGTCCTGTTTTGAAATGCCTGGATTAAAACAGTGAGAGAGAAGTGCCCCACCAGAGCAGAAACAGAAACAGAAAGAAAAGAAAAAAAAAAGAGAGACTATATTTGTGGTGAATACAGATAAGAAAAAGCATTTGAATAAACAAGGAAATATTAGGGCACATTTTCATAAATAAAAAATGTTTTGTTACTATAATTATATTCTTTCAGGACACTTCAGGGTCAAACCCACAGATTTTCTGCCCCTACTCTGCTCCCATCCCAAATAAGGGGGTGCTTTCACTGACTCACATACCCAGAATGTTGTTCTCTGAAAACTCATTTTTTATTGCACTTGATAATCTCATAATTTATAGAGAAGAAAAAATACTTTCTCGAGAATTTTTTGCTCCATGGTTTCTGTAAAAAGTCCAATGTCAAGAATTATGTTATGAAAAAAAGAAGAAAGGGGCCAGTTTCTAGTAAGTCCCAATGAATCAGTTCAAATTGCTCAAGCTTCTGGGCGAGGGTTGCTGTTGGGAGAGGCCTGAAGCACCTTGAACCAGTCCTTTCTTGATCTACTGTGACTATCGTGAGCTCTAAGTGGTAGAAACGCATCCCAAAACCATCCTTATTTTTTCCCTTCATCATTTTCCTTTAGGGATTTGGGTTGGAGAAATAGGAGTTGGGGGCTGGGGTA